TCTTCTCCGTATTTACTCTTGGCCCATCCTGTCTTGTTCTCTCTGAATTGGTTAGTCTGCCGAATGGCTGAGTACTTCTGCCTGAAGTACCGTTCACTGTCTGCTGACCTTTGGGGCATCATTTTCTAAGACTTTCACATCTTGGTCATCTGAGCTTTATTTGACCCTTTATGCAACTCAGATGACAGAACGCAGAAGACAGAACCTTGTTAAAGGTTTATGAAATGTCAAAATTTAGCAAATCTAAAATCTACCTTTAATTTTAGTGATGGTGAAAGTTTTAATTGGCATGTTCAAGGACATCAGTGGAAGTCAAGTGAGTGGGGACCTGCCCCACTGATTCTGGGGGCCACCCCACTCATTCTGCCTCTGTAATACTTGAGGATCTCTTTTGAAGGAAAAGAAATTATTGGGTAGAAAATTCACACTTCTGCCCCGCTATGTGGGATACCTGTGCCTTGAGAGCCCTGGACTAATAATAAAAGGGTTAACCCAAGTGTTGAACACTGTTTAGCTCTTGGGACATTTGTTCTGTATTCATGGATTTAGTAATTTTAATGTAAATAGGCATCCCAACAGCTGTGTCCCCTTAAGCATATTTTATTTAGCAGCTGAGTTATCCACGTCACTTGGCAGCCGTAGATTTTCAATTTTTCCTTGTGCCAAGAGGGCAGCTGGAATAATTTGAGTACTCATTAATTTGGGAGAAATATGAGCTGTGTAAGGCAGACAACACGAGTCTTCTGTATGGTGTTGTACAAGGATAAGCAGATCAGAGTAGAAGCAATTTGCCCTATCCCAAAGGGGCCCTAGGATTTTAATAAGCTAGTTATGAAAATTCTATTTCTTTGCAATTTGAAGCATCTAATTAGAGCCTGTAATTTCTCTCCTGTAACGAGAGTGAATGAAGGTTAACGTTAGGCCTCCTGGGCCCTTTCACATTCATTTGCAGAGAGAAATCAGGTAACAGTTGTAGCTAATTAGAAAAGGTTATTAAATATTTAGTCCATCTTGATTTAACTTGGAGAACACATGCATGTTGTTGGGGTATAGAAAATGATAAAGCAAAGTTAAATTTAATTTTTAATCAAAGATAAACTTTAGGCAGAATAATAATTTTATCACTGACTATCCTAACCCGCTGGTCAGAGCAGCAATTGCCCTCAGTTGTCTGAACTGTCAAGATAAAGGAAGATGATGTCAATTTAATTTCATCACTGAGTACATTTCCCAAGTTCAAACAGCTGGGATTTATGCAATCTGCGTCAAGCACAAAGATCACAGTGATTTTTATCGTAGCAGTGACATAAAAAACCCATCTTCTTGATGTTTCGGAATTTGGATTTTGAGTTTGGAGAATATGAGTGAATTTTGGGGAACTATCCTAAAGGAGATACATCACTCATAGAACTTTCTTTTAAGACTGGACTCACTTTGTAATGGGGTAGCATTGTGTGGAATTAAGTCTGACTTTGCTGTGGACTGATAGCCAAACTCCTGCCTGCTGAGGACAATAAGTCATTCTTCTCTTGTCATAACCCAACCCAAATTGTCTTCCTAAAGTGAAGTTTAGTTAAGTCAGGATGGGTATATCAGACACAAATCCCTCAGCATCAATGCCATGACTGATCATCTCCCCTTCAGGGCCCGACACAGGGAAACATCGTCAGAGGGGAATTAGTTATGGGCAGCTCCCAGGCCTTCTGTATCTTTCCCAGAAGCAGGCGTTTGGGAATCCAGTATATTATAAAAGGGTAAAGATGAAGGAAAACCGAAAAGCTAAATAAAAATAGAAAGATTCCAAAGAGTGACGTTAAGGCATGCATTCCTGTAACTTTTCTAGTGAGGTGATTTATCTTAGCCCGTGAAACCCCATCACTACTCCCGTTGTTTTATTTGGGGGATGTTTGAAGAGTCTTTGCAGATCTGTACAAAATAAATGGCAGCTCCCAGAGACCATCTTACTTTGCTACATTGGCTTCCATTTGCCAGTTATTACAAAATGGTTTCTGAAGGCAATAATCCTTTGAAAATCGCCTGTTATTGGGGATAATAGCTGGTTGTCAGAGCATTAACCACCTTGGACTTCACTTTGGGCTATTATGTAACAAAAGAATGAACTGCTGGTGAGTCTGCCAGGTGTATTAAATTATATCATGCATTATAGGAGTTCTGTGATGAGGATTAGCATTCAGAAAAGACTATCACAGATTGCCAAACTCATTATCTGCTGAGGCAGGAGGCTGGCCTCAGGCTGGGGATGCAAGGCTCGAGTTGTAATTATTAAGCCACTACCTCCAGTCCTTCTTTGTGCTAGCATGGAGACAGACAATTAGCACATCAGCATTTTCCCCTGTTCTTCCCCTTCTAAAGAAAGTCAAAGCATACTACATTAACCATAGTGAGCTGCAAAGTTACATTGACAGTGGGTATATTCATTTTCTGGTTTCTTAATGGCAGACCTACCTCTTAGGAAGTCTTCTATAGTCATAGAAATTGGTGGATCCTGCCAACACTTGTTGGGGCTCTAGACTATGTTCCCTAGTTCCCTTAGAACAATAAATATAAATGCTGGGCCTTCGGATGCATGACCTTTGGGGCTCTGCTACACTGTCTCAGGCACCCACATTCACTCCGAGTGTTGACATGTCTCCTCGTGCTCCACACCTTCCAGGTCAGAATTTCTCCAAAGAGGAGAAGCATGAAATGAAATGATGGTTGAATACCTACAGAAACAAGCTTTCAACTGCAAACATGCAGAGAATCAGGGCTTGGCTGTTCTCAACAGTCTGGATGATGCTTCATGTAGCCATTGGCCTCGTCCATTTTTGATGTCCTGTGGAATGACATTGGTCCTAATTTTCAGTGGAACATCTTATGAGGTCTTCTTAATAGAATGCCACCTCCATAATGTTTAAGCCCTAAACTGTGCATTTGCCTACCTGAATGATATCTATATGGAATTAGCTACTGTGTCAACATTGTACCTCTAATTCCCCATACAGAGCCTGACACATAGTAAATGCTCAGTAAATATCTTCTGAGTGGAATTGAGTGGAAATTTCTGACTGTCTTATTTTTAAAAAATATTTTCTTGTAACAAAATATTACATATTCACTGCAGAAAAATTTAAAGCATATTAACAGAAGAGAAATAAATATAAACTGTTATCCAACCACCAGATTATGGCATTAGAGATATTTTGTATATATCTTTTCATTATTTTTCTATGCATTAGTATTTTCATTTTTTATAGCTTGAATAAGATTGTACATGTCATTGTAGAAACTATTTTTTATTTGTTTAGTGATGTCTTTTCCAGTCATTAAGTGATCAACTTTACCATTTTTGTAATGGCTTCATGAAAGTTCATTGAATAAATGTACTATAACTTGCTTCTGTGGGCTCATTCAAGTAGTAGTAATTTATCTAATATGAACAATGCAGCAACGTATATATTAAATTTTCTTTCACTATATGCTGGGTTTTTTGAAGAGGCAAACAAGAAAACATGTGGTAAAACTTCTGAAAAGACAAATTAATTTGGTGGTTAGAAATGAAGGCAAATTGGGCTTTCATGGACTATCAGGAATCTGTACTTTTCTTGAACTATTAGGCATAATAGCATCTTATGGAAATCATCAATGGATAAATATTTAGAAGCCATAGAATAGACTATGGACTGTTACATTAATTCTATTCGTACACTTTGGCCAAATAAAAAAATTCAACTAGCTAATAAAAAAATTTCCTAGAAGTGATTTCCTATAAGTAGAATTGTCATGTCAAAGGTTATATGTATTTTAAATATTTGAAAGTATAACCAAGTTATTTTCAGAAAGCATATGTCAATTTGTATTCCCACCAGGAGAAAGGCTATTTCCCAACATTCTCATTGTCATTAATGAGTTATTTTCAATTTAAGAGCGAAAATATCCCAAGACTCTAATTTAAATTTTAATTTGTACTTGCTTTTGTGCTTAAAAGTGAGATTCAACATTTTATTCTTTGGTTTGCATATTTGTTTTTGTTGACATGAGTATTTCTTTTTCTGCAACCTAATGGTTCATATCCTTTTCCCTGTTATTGTCAGGTCATAGTGTCACAGTTGACAAAACGACCTTCAGAGCCCCACCTGCCTTAACGTAAAAGGGTCCAACAGCTGCCACTTACCTGCTGTGTGACCTGGAGCAGGTTCCTAACCTTTCTAGGCCTCAGTTTATCATGTGCCATTGAGTCAGCTCCATCTCTTGGTGACCCTATGAATGAGTGATGTCCCTATTAATTTTTTTATCCTACAAGTAGTTTTGGGAAGCTTCTATAGGTCATGTTCTGGATTAGGAGTCGGGGAAACAACAGTGAACAAAATTGATATTGTATCTCCATCACGAAGCTTACACTTATGTATGTATATGTGTGTAGGGAATAGAACATAACCAGGTGACAGACAAAACTGTAAGTTGCATCAAATGCTATGTAGAAAACCACTGGGGTCTCTGACAGAGAATAAGAGGGGGACTTACTTTAGATAACATGAGGAGAAAGGGAGATACAAAACTTTGTGGAGATAAAAAGTTTTATGATGAGACCTAAGTGATGGGAAGGCGATAGCCATGCTAAAATATTTCTGTGCAGAAAGAGAAGCATACACAAAGGCCCTGTGACAGGAAAGAACTTCATGCATTCAAGGAACTGGAAAAAGACCAGTCCAGAGGAAGGGGTGGATGGGTGAGAATTTGGCAATGGTGTGCATGGAGTTGGGGGCGGGGTTGACCTGAGGTCAGATTGTGGAGCAGTGTAGGGGCTTCTGATTGTTATTCTGAATGAAAAGAAAGACTCCCGCATAACTTTAAGCAAAGGAGGGACACATCTGATTCCTTTTGTAAAAAACTGTCTCTCAGATTAGTAGCAATGAAGAGCTCAGAGAAGAGGCCTAGCTGGTTATCCAGGTGAGAGGCATTGGGTGGCTTGGACCAAGGTATTGCTGGAAGAGATGAAAATCATCAGAATTACATTTAGCAAGAAGCTACAAAATAAGTTATTTTTATCTCCATTCCATGTTATATTTTTATTTTTATTTTTTTAGAAGGAGGGGAAGGGAAGGAGAAAGAAAGGGAAAGAAACATCAATGTGTGGTTGCCTCTCACATGGCCCCCACTGGGGACCGGGCCCTATACCCTTTGGTTCGCAGCCCTCGCTCAGTCCACTGAGCTACACCAGCCAGGGCCCATGTTATAAATTAGGATCACTTTTAACATTGGCAGTCATTTAAAGTCACTGAGTGCTCAGAAAGAGTGGGTATCTAGGCCTCAGCAGGTACTCTGGCTCCTTTATCCACTGTAGTCTTAGGTCCTCATGACAAACTTCTCTAGGAAAAGCTCCAATTGTCCAGGAAGTGATGTCTAAGATGCAAGATTGGGGAACTTCCTACAGCCATTAGATTTATCAGCTTTGACCAGTCTTGAGGCTTCCCACTGGGAGAAACATATATTTTGAAAAAGTTGACTCGGTTCCAGCACACAGTGTACATATGTGTCTATGTCTTCCCTGGATCCCCATGAAAATATCCTGACCTTAGAAGACCAAGCAACAAAAATAAAGCCATGAGGGTTAGGAAACAAAACAGATTCTTGCTTTCAGGACTGCCAACCTTATTTTAGTTTGTATGTTTTTCTGTTCAAATATACTGCTGTCCTTGGTTTATACTTCACTAATTTGTCTGCTGCCTCCCCATCTCCCTGAACATTTCATATACATCCTTTCAGGGTCTGTAACTTCTCTTCCTTACTGCAGAGAGGCTCCTTGGGACAGGGATGGTCTGTTTCCTGTGGGACCTCACCTCCCTCAATGCATATATGTTAAATGCTGTTTTCACTAACTTATTTGCATGACCAATCCTACTTAAATTTCAGTTGTTTTCTCTTGTATGTAAGATGTAAGGGAAAAAGTAAAAATAATGAGGATTCATTTCTAAGAAAAAAAGAGTCAAAGGATGGATGAGGAAATAATCTTTTGGCCTCAAACATTCACCTCACCAGTGCACAAAGCTAAGAAAAAGAATATGATGACTTTACAATGAAAAGTGTTTGACAAAATCCAACACCCTGTCCTCTCAATAAATTGGGTATGGAAGGAACATGCCTCATCCTAATAAAGGCCATGTATGAAAATCCACAGCTAATGTGGACATGGTGAAAGATTTTCCTCTGAAATAAGAAACAAAAGTGTTCTCTCTCACTCTTCCTCTTCAACATAGTACTGAAGTCCTGGCCACTACAGTTAGGCTAAGCAATAAAAGACATGTAAATAGGAAAGAAAAACTAAAATTGCATCTGCTTGCAGATGAGATGATATTATATTTTTTAAAAACCCTAAAGACTCCACCAAAAAACTGTTAGAACTAGTAAAATGAATTTGGGAAAATTGCAGGATATACAATCAACATGCAAAAATCAGTTGCATTTTTATACACTAACAACAAACCATCTGAAAAAGAAATAAAACAATTCTATTTACAATAGTATTAAAATAATAAAATACTTAGGAATGAGTTTAATCAAGCAGGTGAACAACCTGTATACTGAAAATTATGGCATCAATGAAAGAAATTGAAGATATAAATAAATGAAAAGATAACTTGTATTCCATGAATTGGGTGAATTAATATTGTTAAAAGGCCCATATTACTGAAAAAAAACTACATATTTAATAAATTCTCTGTCAAAATTCTAATGGTATTTTTTCACAGAAATAAAAAAAAAAACAGTTCTAAAATTTATATGGAACAACAAATACCCAGAATATCCAAAGAAGACTTGAGAAAAAACAGCAAAGCTACAGGCATCACACCTACTGGTTTCAAATTACATTACAAAGCTATAGTAAGCAAAACAGTATGGTACTTTTTAATAAAAAATACAGACAGGCCAATGGAATAGTATCAAGAGCCCAGGAAAAAAACCCATGCATATATCATCAACTAATATTTGATAAGGGAACCAAGACTGTGCAATGAGGAAAGGAATGTTTTTAAGAAAAATGGATATCCACATGTAAAATAATGAAATTGGAACCCTACCTTCAACAAATTAATTCGAATTGGGTTAAAAAATTAAATGTAAGACCTGGAAATGTAAGAACTAGAAGAAAACATATGGAATATATATGAATGATCTGGGGATCTGATATACAGTCTGGTCTTCATAGATACAGGTTGCCAGAGGGGTAGGGATGGAGTTGACAAAAATAGATAAAATCAAAGGTACAAACTTACAGTTATAAAATAAGTAATGTATGGAGATGTAGTGTACAGCATAGCAACTATAGTTAATATTGCATATTTGAAATCTGCTAAGAAATTAGATTTTTAAAGTTCTCATCACAAGAAAAAAATTCTATAACTAATACAGGGTGGAGCAAAATTAGATTTACAGCTTTTTATATGGAAAACAACATAACAACTAATAAATAATAATACAAGAGTAAACTCTGTGCTTTGCATAGTCATAACTGTAAACGTACTTTTGCTCCACTGCATATACAACTTAGTGACATATGCAACTTAGTGACTGTATTATACACTTGAAAGTTGCTAAGAGTAAATCTCAAATGTTCTTACTACCAAAAAAAAAATAGTTATGTGAGGCGATGGATGTATTAACTAACATTATTGTGGTGATCATTTTGCAATACATCTAGGCCTGAAGTCATCACTTTGACCTTAAACTTACATAATGTTATATGTTTGTATCTCCATAAAGGTGAAAGGAAAATTGAATGTTTATAGGAAGGCTTATTTTATCTATTGAAATAATAAATTAATGTACCTTTCTTTGTATAAAGCACCATAAAGCAATAAATTACAGATTAAACACAAAAGAGAGTTTTGCCTTGTACACTAAAGTTTGAGCCAGAGCTCAAGATGGCTTGTGTCCTATTGCAGGGAGCCAAGCTGTGTGGTGGGATAAGTGTAAGAGCGAAGCAGCTCTGGAAGAGGATACTTTTTAGGACTCTATCCTAGGCCAAAAAGATAAAACAAGTGATGGCCTCAGTTTGTGTCACAAAGTGAGGACACAGATATAAAAATCTGAAGGGGAATCTTCAACCACCAACTTTTAGAATGTGATTTTATTTCTTCATATATCTTTACTTCCTGTAGTCTATAAAAAGGATTCAGAAAATTTACAGCTTCCATAAAGGTAGAGACTATATGGACTTTCCTCCCGTGCGTCTCCAGCACTGAGAAAGAGGATCAGAATCTAGTGGACACCCAGTTAATACTTGATGGATGGAAGAGGAGATGAGAAGGTCGGTGGGTGGCAAACATGAAACAGAAAAGGCAACACAAATTGGAGGTCAGTTGGAAGGAAAAAGGGACATCAAAGGCAAAGAGATAAAAATAGAGCCCCAAACCACACAGTCTCTAAGGTGTTTGAGCCCTCTGCTTGAGGGGAGCCAATGTAAAGAAGGAACCCTGGGCAGCCATAAGTTTCACAGTCTGTAGGATTAAAACAATTTCTTAAGATAAAATACAATTCTTGTTGATGACCAGATATAAAATTTCCCGTGGAATTCCTCTGAAAGAAGATAATGGTCTCCCCAGTTCCTCCAGAGTTTCACTTACCTTTCTGCCCCATTCGGTTGAGGCTACTACTCATTGATGCCAAAATAATGGTCTTCGCCCAGGGTGCATGCTCCCACAGGGGAAGTTCCAGGTCTTGGGAACACTGGGACCCCTGGAGGGGCTGAGGTTGGTGTCCAGGAAATGAGAATCTAGAGATTGACAAACCCCACAGGTTACTCCAATACACAAACCCCTCCCCCACACCCCAGGGCCATGTCTCTACCTGTCTGCCTCTTGGATATCACAGGTAAATGGAATTAACACTGTCCTGGACAATGTCCTTGCAGTTGTCTGATGAGTGCTTGATCTGTTACTGACAGTAACCTCAGAAGGAGGTAGGTGAGGTGACATCAGAAACTGCTATTTTGGGACTAATTCTTAGTGACAGGGAGGATTGGTTGGGAAAATAAAAGTGACAGGAACCTTGGGACAAAACAACTGCACTAGCTTAGAATTCACAACTGTTGGTTTTAATGAGTTTGAGAATGATTTGGGCAGAATTCCAAAATCCCAGTCCTTGACCGATGACCCGCTGCTGTGCCGATTCAGCTGGGCGGGGCAGGTGGGAGGGTTCTCTCCAAAGCAAACTGTTTCTTTCTGTGGGGCTTTGACCCACATCCCAATGAGAACACAAGAAGATCATATCTGTGCCCATGGCCAAGTGGGCTCTGTGCCCTTGGATAGGTAGTAGAAGGGGGCAAAGAAAGACAAATTCAGGGATGAGGAACATTAAGGAAGAAGGGACTTTTCTCTCAAGTCTTGAGAAAGGCAGGCCTAGTCATGTCTTCAAGTTTTATACCCTCTGGCCTTTTCCTGAACATTTTGTCTTCTGGGTCCAGGCCAGAAGCACCATTGGAAGAATCCTCTTAGAATGAATGTACACACACGCATTTTTTTGCAGCATGGATCCCCCAAACCCTTATCATTTTATTTTATTTGTAGCATTTAACAGCACCCCTGCTCTGTGGACTATTACGTTAACCATAATACCTTAACCAGTAGGGAAAATGGGGCTGAGAAAGGTCAGGTAACTCACCCAGGGCCTCCCAGCTCACTCAGAAAAGACCCAGATTCTAAAACTAGGTGTGTCCCATTCTCAACTCTGACTTGTATCCACTGAGTTCTGCCAACCTCTCTACCCAGTCGTCTCTGTGTTCCATGAAATGGTGCCATCTGTCCAAACTGTCACAAAGTATGGTAGAGAGGAGACACTTCCACTGATAGTTGCTTGGAATAGTAACTGTCATGGCAGTGTTTTATGACGGAGTCTTTTCCCTACTAGGTAACTGCTGAATAGCGAAAGCAGGCAGTTATTTAAAACACACATGGCTTCAGTCTTGGCATGCTTTCCATCTAGACTCAGAGGGCATCACCCTGGAAGAAAAACATCATAAAAGTGATCCTTCACCTGTGGGAGGCCTGAAATAAGACACCATTTCCTGGTGCCTGAAGATGAGACTGATAATAAAGAGACTTTCTCCCCAGTATTTCCTCCTCTTTTGTCACTGAGCTTCAGCGTAAAACAAAACCAAGGGAACAGAGCAGAGGGAAAATAAAACTCCAGCGGATTGACAGTATATCAGTCTAGAAAAGTAGGGAAGTATTTAAAATAGAGTGGGTAACGAAAGAAAGAGCTTTAATTCTGAAAATCCAAGTAGGTCCCTCGCCGACTTCTTTTGACTTCTGACATTTGTGAAAAGAGACAGAGAGCAAGTGGGAAACTGCTCGGTGCTGAGCACTTAGTTGGCCACAGTGGCCTCATTCAGTCCTCACAGCATCAAGTTTCAGTTCAGAGGGAAAAACTGGTACAATTTCAAGTAAGTAAGCAGTCATTAAGATAACTGGAGAATGGACCAAGTATGAAAGAAACAAGGGAGGTGATGGGATGGACGGTAACTGGGGAAAGGGAGCCAGCCATGCAAAGTGGGAGGTGAGGAACAGTCCAGGGAACGGAAAAGACTCTAAAGCCAGAGGAGTTTGTCATGTTTGCAGATTTTCCAGGGCCTCTTCACTAGTTCATTCTCCAATTAGGAGACCGGAATATGTCCCAAATGCAGTGGGAAGACACTGGAGGGTTCTAAGCTAGGGAGTGACGATTCTATGATGTTTCAGGAGCATAGTCATCACCACCCTGATTTGTGGAACAATTAGTTTCACTTTGACAAGAGAGATTTTCTGATCTGTTTTTGCTTAATTTAACAGCTCTATACATGTGAGTGTTACAGTATTGAATCTGTCCAGGGGTGTCCAACTTGCGACCTGTAGGCCACATGTGGCCCAGGATGGCTGCAAATACGGCTCAACACCAAATCATAAATTAGAAGTGTTTTTTGCTCATCAGTTTTCATTAGTGTTTGTGTATTTAATGTGTGGCCCAAGACAACTCTTCTTCTTCCAGTGTGGCCCAGAGGTGCCAAAAGGCTGGAACCCCTGCAAGCCCTATTAGAATAAGGGGCACACCTGTGAACAAGTAACCATCGCCACTTGATGCCTCCAGGCCTGAGAGGGCAAGGGACACAGAAGGGGCCCCTCAGCCACACAGATCATGCAGTAGCCAGTAGGTTGAAACATGCAGATACTTTGTTTCCAGAGCTCTAGTATCAGCAGAAGGGGATTTTTGTGGCATTGCCAACCAACAGGATTTTGAGTGCTGGCTCTGTGCCAACACTGTATTAGATTCTATGAATTAAAAAATGAGATGGGCTGTCTGTCCATTCCTGTCCATTTCATTCCTGCTTCTTTAAATCTGGTCATTCAAAGGCTTCATGACATGACGTGTGTCCTAAGAAACACAGTGGTGCCTGTTTTACCTCAGGGCTCCTGCCATCTCCACCTTGCTCCTCCACGTTGAGAACTCAGCCCCGATGTGACTTCTGGATCTGATCATGGATGCTGATATCTGGCACACATTAAATTGTCGGAGAACGGGCAAGCGAGTGAACGTATGAACTGTCTCCATCTAGCAAGTACTTCAGATGAGAGAGCCCATCTTGATTGTCCAAAGAACTCTGTTTTTGAGTAACTGATGGTGTGGAATAAAGAATATAAGACGGAGAGTCTTAGCATGGGATTCAGTAGTTCCTAGAAAATCTGAGTCTGGGCTTTGGTGGAGGAGATGGCCCAAACCTCAAGCATCGTATCTGAAATTCCTAAGGTACAGCCTTGGCCATTTTCTTTCAGGGAGAAACTACATAGATAGCCCTTGTCAAATTCTAAGTGGATCTGAATGATTCTCCAGTGGTTAATGGAAGTTGCCATTGTTATACCTTTGATTGTGTTAGGGACTGTCAGTCTCATTATACCTAGTAATGACAAATATCAGTGATTTGTCAAAACCCTCTGATAGCAAAAAATCCCCTTATTCACCCACAAAAGTCAATTTCCACTTCAACCAAACCTCTGGGCGATGTGAGGGGGCATCTGTGAAAAGGTGACTTGACTTTGTTCAGCTCACTTTGTTTAGTTTTACTGAAGAAAAATTATGTAAAACACAAGTGGAATGCAACCCTAGTTTACTGGAATTCACCGCTTCTGACCAGGCTTTTCATCTATTATCTCATTTGCTATTAATCACAGTGATTGGGATGGTGGGTAATCCACATGTCATAGTTAGAAAGCTCAGAGGGTTTAACTAACTTAGATCACTAAGCCAGTTAATGTTGAATTGGGCCCACCTAGAACCCAGGTCTCCTGATTCCTTGCTGTTTTAAAGAAACTCAGGATTTGTTTTAATCAGGTATGGTAAGGCACACAGACATTGGAATGACTGGCATAAAGGAAAAGAACTTTATTATACTCATAGAAGCAATGGGCAGGACCACATGGCAGCACCAAGGCCAGATGAGTGGGCAGAGAGGCGATTGGGGACAGGAGACTTTACTGTGTTTTCCATGAGAAGAAAGAGGGAAGCAAGACACGCGGGTTTAGAACTGAATAATTTTGGTAGGCTCTGAGGTATAGGGACTGTCCCTAGTTTTCTGGTACCAGGCCCTGTGGTGACTAGGTCAGGCGGATAATGGCCCAAGCAGTGATGAAAGGAGGAGGTTGGAAGCTCGGGCTTTGGATTGGTTGGTTTGTATATCAGGGTGCCCTTGGAGACGAGTTGTATATTCTCTCAAGGAGATAGCAAACCCTGGGAGGGGCAGTCCATCCAGGGCACAAATGCTCCAGATATCAGAGCATCAAAAATACAGAAAATAAAAAGACATAGTCAATGCACTGGTTCTGCTCCATGCATTAATTTCATCACTCAGCTTTGAGGGTGTTTGCAGCCTGACTTCTTACTGATCCATTAAGTGGGGTGTAATCTCCTCTGTTCCACTGAGATAACCCAGGTCACAGTCTCTGAGTGACCCAGAGATACCCATCTCCTTCACTTTGACAAATCACGTGGCCATAAAACTGACTTCCGTCCCCTGGCTGGAAGATTACACATGGTTATTTTTTTCTGATTCAAGATATTTTCAAAACCACGCATGAGGTATCAGGGACTGTGCTTGAGAGAAAGGAGATTATACAGACTTCTAGAGCGTCCCCAAAATGACAGTTCATTTTTCATAATGATCTATGATATTCATTTGTTGAAATTTTATTACTTTTGTAATTTAATTCAATTTTTCCCATTTTATTGCTGCTCAAGGCAGCATTACCTTATTTGCCTCTCTCATCCTTCTGGATAAGGATGTTCCTTCTTTTATTATGAGCATGATGGATTCCAGATTAGAGCAGTCCACTCAATATAACCATTTCCACTGGTGTCAGCCTTCCCAGAGTCCGCCTCTACTCTTGCAGCTTTTCATGAAGACACATGTTGTCAGTGATTTATGAAGTATTTTTGTGAATAATCAAGTCCCAACCCTCGTCTTCTGCTTAGAGATTAATGATTTTATTCAGAAGTATTCCCTTGCATGAGCAGTCATAGAAATGGGCAAATAATAGAAGTTGGTTAGGAATATTTTGTGAAGATACAGACTAGAAATATATTGAGTAACATCAAATTGCCTTTAAAACATAGAGACATCAGGAGACCTCTTTCTGAAGCTGAAGTCATGCACCACTTTTGAGACATCCTTGGAAGTATTTTAGGGAATAACTAAGCAGGGCAGCCAGGCTGGAGCAGGTGAGAAGACATGAAGGAGAGTCCACGTGCTCACTCGCAGAAGAGGCCACTCACCTGAATTAAAATTTGGAACCCATGGGTGTGGGCACCCATACGTCCTGGATGACTCATATCAAATTTCACTGATATCTATAATATATATAACTTGAGGGGTTTTAAAGGTAGAAATACTGCATTTATAG